CAATGCCTGCCACACTTTTCAGCTTTTAGTTTGTGAAAACATTTGGAAACAGTTTTATCATTTTGATTCCACTTTTTTCTACTCCACACTTATGTACACTTTTGTTTTGTTCTTGTACAAATAATCTTAAGAACATGAAGCTTGTGGTGAATATTAACAACATAGTCTATTGTAGAGAAAAAAAGGGTCCATCAAATAATGTATAATTACTTAAAATGTAAAGTAATCACATCATTGTATTTTAATGAGTAGAATAATGCACAGAATTATTTATATCCCCCTCTCAGAAACAGCATTAAAAAAATAATAATTTATTTTACTTACAAATTATCTGGATGTTTAAGAATGGAGAGGAATTTAAAGATCTATCCAACCTAAAAACAATAAGGCTTATCAAAGACAATTCTGAGAAAGTGGAAAACTGTGAAAACCCTGTCATTGATTATATGAAGGTAATGTGAATAAAGATGTCTCTACTAATACATAACGGGGGAAAATCCATGAGAGTTTGCAGTTTCAGTAGATTTTGTTGAAGTTGAACTGTTTTTTTCTTAATATTTCTTCTGCTTTTGTAAAATCATGTCCTATTAATCGTTTTTATTTAGTCACATGTTCATTGCAAATTCATTCTTTGGAAGTAATAAAGCTAACCCTTGCTGACAAGGTCTAATTATTGGCAGGGTTATAGTATTTAATAGGAAATAATATTGCATACTTTCCATTCTTTTTCCAATGACATAGCAGGAGTGCTTTCCATTTTAATAAAAACTGTTTTCCGCTGGTTACTCTGAACAGATGATTATATTTGGTGATGGAATTTTAAAATAATTAAACTTGCATATGACATTGGAAAATTTGCCATGGACTTTTTCAAAGTAAATGACCTTGCTTCTGTCCTGTCATCTTCCTTTTACAGACATAACTACCGTCTCAAAACGCAATGCGTCCGTACGTTTATTTTTCCTGTAACTTTGGCTTTTGCATTTGCAAGTTTTTCATCCACAATTTTCTGTCGCCATGGCACAATTTTGTCTGTCATTGGCCAGTTTTCAAAACTCCACAAAACTAAACACATTCCTTTCCAATGAAGCCACAAGTCTATGTGTGCCAAATACCCCCATGTACTGTAGCTTCTGCTGTGACATGGAAAGAGAGAGAAAGAGAGGGAGAATGGTTGAACAAGAGACATGGTGATGGAAAGTGATGAGCAGACAGTTGAGAATCACTCAAACAACTACCTAGAGTTGATCAAATAGATAACAAATCGGTATCCTAGGGTCAGTTGACCTTATGCGCTTTGAGGTACAAGAGCCTAAACTAGCAGCTGATGGTGGAGTACAACGGCAGACCAACGGTGCAACCCATCTGTGCCTTGTATTAAAGCAGGCTCACACCCCAAGGCCAAAGCCACCATGCCGTGTAATAGCTACATACACCAAGGCTCAGTCCTGAGGGGGCCAACGAGTCACCCACTGGGATGACAATTGCAGTTTTGTTAACACAAACACAATATAACACACATGTCCAGACATTCACCAAGAGCACAGAAAGAGAAAAAACACACATTTTTTGGGGGGTAGTGTGTAACTACCATGTAGCTCTGCTGTGTAAAAACACTTTAAAGACACAAATGACTGAGTAAATAACACCAACCTATTCTTAAACCCAGTGTGAGATACTTTTCTCTGGAAGGGAGGTTATATTTTCCCTTTCGATACCTTTCTGCAGCTCTGGTTGGACATTGTTCTGTGTGCACTTCCTGTTGTGTTGGCCGCTGTGTAAGTGTATTTTGTATTCATCCAGGTGTGCGAATGTGATTGTGTGTGCGAGGATCAAAATTGAAGCAGAGTTGCAAAGCATATTATCTAAGCTATCACATCTCTTCTCAGCATGCATTCTGCTGCCTGCTGTCAGACATACATATCACTAAAAACAAGCATAAAGAACATTTACAAAATGGCTGTAGGCAAAAGTGTTAAAAGAATGTGTCAAACTGAGCTGTGGAAGAACTTCTCATTCTTTTTTGTGGTAAGGAATATACTGTAGGAACTTGTTTAATATTAGTTCAGTAAGACTGCATAACAAATGCATTATTACATTTGAATTATGGAAAATATTTTGAAAAAAAAATTCTTTACAACTTTAAGTTCTTTTAATAAATTTATAAATTTTATGTTTTGATTATCTAATGACGAAAATAGCTATAATGTAGAGAAAAAAAATTACTGTTCCATTTAGTAGCAAACATTACCACATGACACTTCCACCTTTGGTTTAGTTTAAAATGCAAGTTTGTGCCCCTGTGTTTTCAAGACTTGCATGCATCAGCACAAACAGAACAGCATTTCTCTAAAAGCAGTGATGTTTGGTTTAGATGAAAAAGAAAAACATTGAAAGGAGGGGGTGGAGGTCTGTGGGTGGGCGATTGTGACAAAAAAAAAAATAAACTCCACCTTGTAGTGGCTCGATTTTTAAGTTTGGTCAGTCTGGCTTGGCTTCATTTCTTAGCTTTTCTCCTTCAGAAAACTCCCATTTTACATAATTATTTTCTCAATAAATTACTGAATTTTCTCTTGTGTCAAATTTTCGGACCCATTCTTGTTTTCTGACTCTCCCGTTTGCACCTATCATTTCCTTTTGCATTAAAAAAGCTGCCTTACGCATCGAACTTACCCTAAACTTGTAACATCAATTTTCACTTTATCATTTCTATGGTGTTCATACTTTTTTCTTAAAAAATGTGATGAAATTCCCAGCCTTCTGTGCAAAAGGCTATATCTGAGGTAAATAGCAGTGCATATCCTCTTCCACACCTTGTTCATCCATCCATCCATCCATCCATCCATCCATCCATCCATCCATCCATCCATCCATCCATCCATCCATCCATCCATCCATCCATCCATCCATCCATCCATCCATCCATCCATCTTCTTCCACTTACTGTAACCAGGGTCAGGTCATGGGAGTAGCAGCTTTAGTAGGGAGGCCCAGGTGTCCCTGGGCCTGCTCCTCCGGGGGAATCCCAGGGCGCTCCCAGGCCAGCCGAGAAACTAAGTCCCTCCAGCATGTCCTGGGTCTCCCCCTGAGCCTCCTCCCGGTGGGACGTGCCTGGAACACCTCACCAGGGAGACGTCCAGAAGGCATCCTAATGAGATGCCCGAGCAACCTCAATAGGCTCCTCTTAATGTTGAGGAGCAGTGGCTCTACTCTGAGTCCTCCCCGGATAACTGAGCTCCTCAGTCAGAGAAACTCATTTCAGCCGCTTGTATCTGGGATCTCATTCTTTCGGTCATGACCCAAAGCTCATGACCAAAGATGAGGGTAGGAACGTAGATCGACTGGTAAATTGAGAGCTTTGCTTTTTGGCTCAACTCTCTCTTTACCACAACAGACCAGTACAGTGCACGCTTCACAGCAGACGCCGCACCAATCCGCCTATCGATCTTCCGCTTCATCTTCCCCTCATTCGTGAACAAGACCCCAAGATACTTAAACTCCTCCACTAGGGGCAGTACATCCTCCCCAACACAGAGAAGGCACTCTACCCTTTTCCTTTGGCAAAACATGGTGGTAGCATCACCATGTGGCGAGCGACTGTTTTCATCATGACCCTAAAAGCTGATTTAATATTTTACTAATGATTAATAAATATTATGTGAAATACAAATTGTGATATTTCAAAGAATAAGCTAAAAATGTAACATACAGTGATTACAAACACAATAAACAAATTAGGTAGAATGAACACTCTTTTTTTATTTATAAGATTTGAAAATAAACTGTTATAATATGGTAAGAATAGGCTCAATTATAGTATGCAGTTTATACTGACAAACTCAGCATAATGAAAATAACATCTAAAAAATAAGCCTTGTGTACAAAAGAGAGTGTTTCTCTTAATGGTGCAGATTCGTTTTAAAACAGACCTGTTTTCATTAAGTGAACTTCCTCACAATGGATGGAGCAGCCAGATATTTTACTCAAGTACCACTGGTCATCCATCCATCCATCCATCCATCCATCCATCCATCCATCCATCCATCCATCCATCCATCCATCCATCCATCCATCCATCCATCCATCCATCCATCCATCCATCCATTTTCTTACGCGTTTATTCCAAGGGGTGCTGGTGCCTATCTCCAGCAGTCATTGGGCGAGAGGTGGGGTACACCCTGGATAGGTCGCCAGTCCATCGCAGGGCAACACAGAGACAAACAGAGTACCCGGAGAGAACCTATGCATGCTCAGGGAGAACATGCAAACTCCATGCAGAAAGACCCCGGGCCAGAATACAAAACTAGAACCTTCTTGCTGCAAGGCAGCAGTGCTACCCACTGCTCCACTGAGTAGCCCTACAACTGGTCATACTATATTATATTTCTACTTATGTAAAAGTAAAAAGTAAGGTGCCTTAAAACTACTTCTAAAAGTATCTTTTTTTTTTTTTTTTTTTTTTTTAAAGTTTCTCAAGTAAATGTAACTGAGTATATCCAACCAGTTACTACCCACCTATGTTTCTGATGCAATGGTCCTGAATTGCTTTCCTAATGGAAGCAGGACATTGCCAGGCGGTGCTGCAGTAGTTAGCTGTCCTAGAATCAAATATTACTTCAGCCTGATATTTATCAATGTATGAATTTAGACTGATTTTCACATTTTTGAATGAATAGAATGGAGGACGCATTAAACAATTTGTTTTTAATGTTTATTTTTGTGTTTAATAGATAGATTTCATTCAGTAATTGCTGTAGGAGTAGTCACGTTTTTTTCTACTGTTTTTCAGCTCTGATGAACTTGAGAAAAGTTATGTTATTCACTAGTTTAGAAAAAGTATCTTGACAAAACATAGAAGAAAAAATAGTTTATTGTTCATCCTCAGCATCCCGTCACTCCGCTCATCCGTCTCACGCTTATTCTTAGATTTGACCGGTAGAGGTCGCAGCCGAGCAGCGACTGACTGGATAGGAACCAATGGATGCGTAAAAGCATTAGAGCGCTCCCACATGACAAACCTTCAGAGCGTCGGGAAAGCTGGAAGGGAGAACTGGCGCTTTAGGGGCCACCGCTGACTATTTCATTCCTGCATTTTTACCTGCAGCTCAGTGCGGCTCGGTGTGGCTCCAACAACTTCACCAACTGTCCCGCTGCGTAGTTCCTCAGACCACTGTGGCAGGGACGCTCCCATAAATTCACCCCTTTCCCCAACTCAACTTAATAGAGATGTTAGATAGCGCACAGCATCATTGCACCGAATGTCCACATAGTACTGAAGCCTCTGTAGGACGGATATAGAACCTGCATGTCAGGAGAGACTCTTTTTCTGCCTCTTGTCGTACTTTTTGCTCGCTTTGACACACAACACAGAAGGGTGAGAGGTCGTTTATGTGTGCGTGTGTGTGAGCGTGTGCAGGAGAGACAGACATTGCACACTTTTTTTTTCTCTCTTTTGGAGCTACGCTTTCATGCCGTCAGTCTTGCGCTCTTTGAGATGGACGTCAGATTTTATCCAGCTCCCCCTTCCAGCGTGGGTTCCTGTACGTTACCGACCGATTCCGGGCTGGACTATTACCATTCCAACAAGGTAAACAATTATCTCCGCTAAAGTCTACTGAGATGTGTCAGTTTCAAGTGCAGGCGCTCAGACGCGCATTGGTTATACTTGGTTGGGTAAAGAAGCATAGGGTTTTAGGTTAGGCATGCACATGCACTTCTCTTTCCTTACGGATAATCCTGTAAAGAGTCCACAAGCTGCAGGAGGCTGCTGTTATTTAACTTTTATTTTGCATCTTTGCTGTCATTGACACCTGCTCAGATGAGATGCTTGCATTTTCTCTAACCTGCAGTTATATTTAATATAGGATATCACTGTTGGACTGCGTGAGCAGAGTTAGAGCGCACCACTTTTCTGGCGCTGCTAATCTGAACAAACAGAACAACCTATTGAAACGTGTGCGTGATTGCACATTAACTGATATTATTTAGCTCTGCAAACTTTCTTGAATGATCAAAACTTATCTCATCCCAAGTGCGTAAATTTGACCCCTTATTCGCCATGAACGTTCCAAAAATGGCAATGCTTTGCGCACAACCCAATAAACGGTTACCAATATTTTATGCATCTAAATCATATAAGAAGACTCACACATTGGATTGTTTTCGGTTCCTTTGTTAAATTCAGTGCAATTAAATAGCAAATTGTAACACCTTTTCGGGTAAAAGACTGATTTAGCGCAACAGTTGGACTCTTAACTGGAACAATTTAAACGCCCAACAGCATTTAGTAAGTAAAAGAAAAAAAAAATATTGTTTTATTTTTCCTTTTAAAGTCAGCTTTTGGATTTGTTACACTTTCAAGACAGCAATAAGCAGTGTTTACACAAGAAACTCGACATAAGCTGAATAGAGGTGGTTTATATAAACACAGGGTACAATTATAAAGGCAGAAAATTATATTTGTTTTCATTTTTTTTGAATTGGTTATGGTTGTGAAATTAGTTTTTCTTAGGTTTATGATTATCTGCTTTGCAAACAACCATCAGTAACATGCAGATATACATCCACAGTCATTCATAGTGTTTGCTTGCCTTAGCACCTGGGGGAAAGCAGGCCAGTATTTAACATTTGCTGATGACAAGGTGATACATGTGAAACATTAAAACACAGTGCAATATTTGGATTGGCATTGTCCCCTATTCATTCACATGGTCACCTGCCTGTATACATTTAGTTGAACGCTGTTGTTCAAACACAAACACTCACCCTGAAGAGGTTTTTAACTGCTATACAAACTTTGATGAAATCATTTATATAAATTACTAACCATCTATAATACCAACCCCAAATCCTTTAATGTAAATGTAACCTAACCTTACTTGGGCTGAAATCTAAAATGTTTCTATTAGTACTTGGCAAATTATTTTCCACTGTCTCTATGTTTAACTTGTTGACTCGGGCTTATTAATATGGATCAATTAAGACACATTCATATAAAGCAGTCAAAGACAGTGTAACAATGTCTTGCAAAAGTTTTAAACATTGTCATGTTTTGTCCAGAAATAACCACTAGAATGTATTTTCTGGGTATGTTTGTGATAGACCAACATGTAGCATAGTTTAAATGTAGAAGTAGTTAAACTTTTTAATCGTTTTCAGTTTTTTTACTGTCATGAATCTGAAAAGTGTGGCCTGTATGTCAAAATCACATTTCAAGCCTTTGCCTAAATCTGTAGTTATATTTCGACCACTCCAATAAGTATGATTCCATCTAAAACATTATACAGAAGCTTCTGTTAGATCTCTTTTTTAAAATGAACTCGCAGTTTTTGTTGTAGGATTGAACCTCGCTCTTCTTGATCCCTTTCCCATTATCTTTGATCAGCTTTGTTGTCTGTACTAGTACAAAAAAGCTCCTCAAAGCATTCTCACAATTATTTGTCACAGCATGCTAATTCACTTCAAATAGTGTTTTAACTTATAAAAAAAAAACCTAAAAAGTTAATTTCAGATTTATTTGGGCAGGTTATTGGACACAAATTGTTCTGCCTTGTCCATGATTTGCAGCAAATTACAGGAAGCACTTATTTTGACTTAAACAATTGAAAAACCTTGTCAGTGACTTATCTACAGATTCTTATTCCTGAGTCTGTGGATGTCTTCAGCTCCACCATCAGTTTGATTATTGCTGTGCCTGTTAGTGTAGGTGGGGATCCATGCTTTAGAGGTTTGACAATAATTTTTATGGTGCTCTTTAACTGCTCAAACTGTGATATATATATATATATATATATATATACCTGTCTAGTGAGGTTTTACCCTTTCATTATGATGCTGACTAGTCTCTAATGCTGTCTAACAAACTGCTGCCGCCTTCATAAAACAGCTGCATTTATTCTCAATTGGAATCACACAGATGAGCTCTATGTATTAATAATGTGACTTTTTAAGGCAGCTTGTTGCACTAGGTTTGTAAGGCCTTAAAAAGAAATTGGGCTTAATAGATATGAATGTCATACTCTTATTTCCAAAGCAAAATGAAAACAATATCTAATTGTTTTTCCAGTTCTTAGTTTGCTACAGCAAAATAACAACAAATATGATCATGTTTGTAATGTTACAAACTGTAAAAAACTTCAATAAGCACTCTAAAATTATGCTCACATTAAGTTTGTGGCTACATAAGGGGATTTGAGAGTTTTACATAATGGCCTGTTCTGGTTTCTATAATACAGCAAGTACAAAGGCCACAGAAAAGCATATAGCACTCTCATTACTAAAGAAACTCCGCTGACTAAAATGTAAAGTGACACATTATTGCAACTGTACTCTTGGTATTACACATGAACACATGTATAATGATGCTTGTGCATTTTGGTTCTTCTTCACTTATGTGGGAAGTTTAATTTTAGAGCTGTCCTCTTGTTATAGCAAGTGGTTAAAAGTACATTACCTAAAAGCATGTGATGATCACAGATGTTAATTATCTTTATTGTTTTTCCTCTACATTAAAACTGATTGAACATACATAGCAGTCTAAAAGAAGGCACAAACGAAGAAGTGTACATAACAGTAATTAAAATGGACTAAGTATGTAAATACATTGTTTCCTGTGTACAACTGCATAAACTCTTCATCTGCATCTTTTTTTTCTGTCTAAAAAGACAGCTCTGTGTTGGCCATAGATATGAGTTTATGTGCAGCTGTTCTTAAGTCTAAAATGAGGTTATTAGGGAAGAATGAAAAGAAAGGGTTAGCCGAAACCAGCTGGAGTTGATTGACCACACTCATGGTTGATTGATGCATGTCTCACAAAATGATTCAGCACCACAAATAATTTAAATTCACAAATGCTGTGAATTTTAATTAAAGCTTTGCTTATAGTTTGAAACTAAACAATCACATATATGAAAACGCTCATAAAAAAACAAAAAACAATACGAAACACAGCTATGCAGCAAAATCGACTATGTTTTTATTAATCACTAATCATTTTCTAAGTAGTATAAATAAAAAAAACGAGATGAGTCATATTTAAATTATAAGATGGTTCTTATTATCATGAAGTCGTATAAATCTAATCGAGTTTTAGTAGTTTAAAAACAAAGCATATTGAATTACATGCTCTTTTTATGGTTTATGTAGTCAGAGTTCTTGGGTTTGATGTAATTAGTACTGGTAATAAAAGCTCTTTTAGTGTTTGACCTTAAATCTATTAGAGCCGATGGACAAAATATATGCTGATTTTGTTCTCTGGATTATTATGTCTTGCATCTATAGTTTTAAATTTTTTTACATTTCTATCCTTATTGGGAAGAATGTATTATGCTCCTAAGTGAATTTTCTGTCATTATATACAGAATTATATAGAACAGACTTTTTTATGTCAGTAAAATACCTCAGCATTTTAAAGAATATATGATTCTCGATGAGTACAATCATGATGGGATCCTCAAAGAGGAAGCAGAAAATAACAAAAATCCTTTTTCATTCTCACAAATAAAGAAACATTCAATTTCTAGAGCGATGCTAAGTGAGACACATGAGAAGAGCATCGATTTGTGTATGGCTAACAGCCCCACGGCTCTGTTGCTCCTCTCAACCATCCAGCTTGCATTGTCCTGCACTTGCAAAATCAACCGTGAGTCATCTTTACTTTTCACCCAAGATTTCTCCTAATCTTTTTGAAGCCTCTCTGTATCTTTTCCCTGGCTGAGTGGGAGGCTTATTTGCTCAGTGCATACTCAGCTGTGTACACCAGCGCTGAAGGCCACTTCTTCGCAAATGCCTGTTTTTAGCAGGAGACTATTTGTCAAATGTATTATGACTTGTGCATACCCTCAGGCAGAATCACTCCGGTGAAATGAAGTTAGATAGATTGCTGTAGATGTTCCACTTTCTCCTCATCCCTCTCCACTCTAATTGCACAGTGCCCAAGAGAGAGCCTCTCATGTAATTACACTGTAGTTATTCTGTAGGTTTATAATCCAATGGTTTGCAGATGTTTTCTTTGCATAGCAGCCATCTGTTCCAACTTACGCTGTTATTTATATACCTTTTTTTGAGTTTTTTGTGAAGGACTACATCAGTATGTTTATTTGCAGTGCTGTAGATCAATTCCCTTTTGTAACAAATGAGTTTTACCATAACTCTTGTCTTTTCTTTAGTTTGAACATTTTGCTTCTTTTTATCAGGACAGAAATAAGCAGCTGACGTGTGTCCAAAACGCAATGCGACCAGCTTTAGCAGTGCATGTAAAACCCCTTCTAAAGTGGTTTGTTCCATTTCATATGCTATCCAAATCACTGTATTAGTCATGGGATACTTCAAAGTATGGGGAGGGAAAAAAAAAATCACATTGAATTCTGAGAATATTTTTTTTTGTTTCTCGCTCTCTCAGAAACATAACCGTAACAGACACTGAAAAAAGAAAAAAAGTTATTTTAGTGGTACCTCAGTCTGTACATAGATAGGAGTTAATTACATGGAGGCAAGCATTCTTGGGTCGACAGCGTGGACTATGGGTTTTTTTTGTTTTTCATTGTGCCCATTCATAACATTCTGCTGACTGGTCAGTCCCAGCTGCAG